GAGGTGTCTTACCAAGCAAGGTAGTATAGTGCCATAACCAAGTTAAACTCATCTCCACAGAACATTTACAGAAAATGAAAATGTAATAATCACAAGTCATCCTTTCAGTGTAAATTTAATTGTAAATGCTATGGTTAACAAAAAATATATTTTAATAAAATACTTTTTAAAAATATCTTTTAAATCCTAATTTTGCCATTACTATCCTAGAAATGGTACTTGAAAAAAAAAGTAGTTTTGCAGTATGTGATACTGGACCAAAGTCTTCAGGGGACCTATATTATAGAACCCGGTGAGATTTTATCTACCATAGATAGATAAAAGTCCTGTCCATCTACTAGATTTCCACACTTTGTGGAGATAGTTCAAGTGTATATTGAAATGTGTTTGCTACTAATTGACAGAGCAAATTACTTTTGGAACCGTATTTCCAAAGGGCCACTGAAAATTTATGTCTTCAATTTTACATGCATGGTCTTCCATACCTTTGTGAATTTAATGTTTGTGTACTCTGACATTTCCTAGCATTGAAAGAACAATTTCAAAGATGTGATGTTAGGACAGTTTAGTAGAATAGATTTTAGAAAAATCATTTACATTCTGCACAATTAACCATCTCGGTGTCTTCATCATACTTTCAAGTACTGTAATCAACGTTTTAACATGGAATTTTCTTAGAAGAGAGGCTGAATTTCAGACACAAAACTGGAAAAAAAAAAGAATAAGACAAAAATCTGACTCATTTTCTATGCTTAGTTTCTACTTTTCAGAGAAGGCAAAGCCTGAAAATTTTGACTGCAAACCTAAATATCACAGTAAAGTCCATCTGATATACCAGGTTCTGAAATTACAGTACACAGAAAAAACGCAAACAATGGATTATTAATGAGGTCAGAAATACAAATAAATTTACTTCTAATGAAGACTGGAGACACAGTAATCAAAGTGTTAAAAATTCATTTCATGCACATCTCATTTGCCTCTTAGCTGATATTTACCACATAATTCTGTGAGAAAGTGGAGGCCTAAGATGCTCCCGATAAATGTCTCAATTAATTGTACAGAGGTAGCCCTCTTTGAGCTGAACCAGAGCTGTGAGCTCTTTATTAAAAGCACTATTCGGTAGCCTGTAACCTTGTTCCTTGACTCCTCTCTAGTTTCCAATTTAAACAAGTCCCCATGCAGCCCACTCTAAAGGGCTTTGTCTCCCTGTCATTGTTATGAGAGCCGAGGCATCCTGGAAGTGTGAAATCAGACCTCATGAGCTGAACGGTTCCCCAGGGAACGTCAGACCATGCAGAAGGTCAAAGTCATGGGCTGGACCATCTGAAAGCGTCTGATCGGTGGTCTGTGACACAGCAAGAGGGGTGGGGGTAGGGGGACACGGGAGCCAGGGGCTAGAATTGAACACATCTTAATTAAAGCCCAAAGACAGCAAAATAAACTGTTTTCTAGGCAGGCCATCTTATGGAGCTTGGGTTTTGCTCTGCTGATCTGAGTTGCTAACTATTAGTCCTTTAAAACACAGCACTTTTTGCTGAAATCGATCAAACCTGTGGCACATCTTTTCCCACACTGTTTACTTCTCATAAGGCAGAGATTTTGAGTTTTATTTTGTGACACAAGGAAAAGGAGGGATGCACCTGCCCCAGTAAAGGAGATGCAGGCACTGCTGCCAGTAGCCTTTGACCACCTATACCTGACTATGCTGTGAAAGGAATATACATATCTGAATATTTCCCAAACTCAAACTATGCTACAGTAAAGGGTCCATTGCCTTCTGAAATTTTTAGGCATTATGTGAAAACCATATGTATAGTGTCAGAAGCCAACTATCATGATAAATCCATTATACTTTAGGTTTTACTGCACCATCAGAGAATTTCTTCATGTCACTCTAGGCATAGCTCCTACCCTGCCAGGGCTCCACAAGCAGCCAAATCCTTGAGAAGGTCTGCCAGAGAAACCACAAGTGAGCAAAGAAGTAGGGAAACAGGAAAATACAACTCCTCATAGTTGAAGATTTAGGGAGAAAACAGCCACCCACTGAACAGCTAAAGCACAATGGAAGATTCAATTGAAAATTTCTTCTCAGAGCAAGAAGAAAAAAGTAAAGTCCATGCTCAATGTCTTTCCATTTGTTAGATGACAGTTTCAAATAATCATACTAAAAAATACATAATTTTGAGGAAGGTGTATTTGCTGGGACAATAATTTCCAACAGAACATAATTTTGCACCAGTAGAATCCAATTGGTGAAAAATTGTGTTTTGACCATAGAAAGACGTTGTTTTCCTCTGAAAAAACATCCTCACAGATGCAGCAATTTCCCCAAAGGCCACAGTCCTGAAAGATGCCCTGTTTTCCAGCTGCCCCCCAAGTCAAGGTGAGCTTTCAAGCACCAGTGGGGAATCTCTCAACCCCTCAGTGGTCCTTCCTTTTCTTAGACCTCCTTGCAAGTGGACTGAGTGAGAAGTCTGACTTTATTTATTCTGTACTGGGATATTTTTAATACCCAGTTATAGCATGTTCCAGCAGCAACCATTTCAAAACTGGTAGTGCCCACTTGGTCCCCTGCCCACAATTCAGCTGAAATTTCAGCTCACCCTGACACCTTATTCAATGAATGTGCATATGAGGGGGCTTGTAAGCTTAGGCCTGAACCACTACCCTTAATCATTCTCCTTTTAAAAAAAAACCGTACTAACTTTTAAGATTTGAAGTGCACTGTCCAACACCAGGCTATTGAAACTGGAGAAAAAAGCTGCCCTTGGCTATCAGCAGTTTATTAAGGGCTTAACTGAAGTGACCTACTGTAGTAGCATTCAGTTGAAAAAGGCTATGAGCTTTCTGACAAAAGGAGAAGAATTGAGGGTTTCATTAAAAAGTAATTTGTGTTTTTTACTCATTCATTCAACAGGAGTCTCAATTACTCTTTATTCACACAGAGTTAATACAGTATTACAATGCTGCTCAATGAATGTATAGTAACAAAAGAAAAATTTCATGTTTTGAAAGGGAAAAAAATCCTTGCAACAGCAGTAAGATTGATGACTACTTAAAAGATTACAGAAATCTTTTTCTGTCTGTGTTTATGCTTAATGATGGAATATTAAGGATTTTAAGAATCTATTCAACCCAAACTAATAAAATTTGATTTATTACTTCACATGAAAAGATTCCTGGAAGTGAAATGGGATATGTCCAGCAGGCAAGAAGCAGAGCAAACCACACAGATACTATACAGTTGTTCTAGCTACTTGTCAGACTCAGGGACAAAAGATTAACTCTGAAAACACAACACAGTAAGAAAAGTAAACTAGTCCTTAGCTTTTACTCACAGATGCAGTCCTTAGTGGTGTGACTACCAGCACTGATGGCAGCACTCCTCCTTACTGACTAGTAAGTATTGCTTAGTTGAATAAGAGTGGTGGGTAAAGTTTATACAAAATTTCTACAAACATGATTTATTGATTGTCAAATAACTACTCTGAGTTATTTCTCAATATTTCTATTCAAAGTTTAATTTTAAATGAATAATTTGTACACACCATTAAGTTATTTAAAATAACTATAAATACTACAGTAGATAATAAATCCCCTTTGCCCTCTCTTCAAAATACCAGGTACTTTTGTCCAAAATATAAAATGATTTCTGTCACATATGAAATGTGCAGCCATCTCAGTAAACATATCTGCTGTATAAATGCTTTTTATTACTAAAAACCAGAATATTTTGTCATTATAAGACACAGGAGGATATCAAGAGTTCTTCCCCTTCTTCCTGATTGTCATCCTAAACTCAATGTCTGAAAACTTTTGGTAGCTCTGTACACCTTTAATTGAATCAAATTTATTTCCAAAACAATTGTTCAACCAGCACAAATAACATGTTCATTTGAAAAAGTCGAAGACTGAACGAGATCAGGGACTGAATTATCCCATTTGCCCCTGAATAACTTAATCTCTCTCTCTGTTCAGACCACATTGGATTATAAGGTCAAAGCATATTGAGGACTCTTTAGAAGCATTCCTCCAACCTCCCCAAAAATAGAATCTGTTATTTTGTGTGCCACAAACCAGATCAGTTTCAGCAATAACATATTTCCACTGTTACCTTGTCTGAAATCCTGGCAGTCATGCTAATTATCAAAAAACTATTGAAAGTGAATAAGTTGTTATGTATCTACATCTGCTGCTGTAACAGAACATTTATGTCCTAACAGCAATGAAACCAGGTAAGTGTAGCTTAATTTTTACATTTTTTTTAAAGCAGAGATGGCTGTTTTCTGACACAGATGCAGAAAATTTTGCTCCATTCAACTTGTCCAGTACGAAGGTGATTGTACTTAGAAGAAGCAACTTTGACATTTCTGGAGAAATACGGCCAGTATGGTTGAAATACTTTTCCTTTATTTTGAAAAGCTAAATGTCATATTAACTATTTAACTCCTATCCCATAAAATAGAGAATTAAAAAAAATGGTTTCCCTTCTTAAAAAGATAAGCAGTAGTTACAGTAAACTGGATGTACTTGAAATGTCTGAAACCACCAGCAGCCTTGTTAAACATCTGACAGATATCAACTGATTCTTTTGGCAACAACTTTAAGGCAGTATCTAAGTCTAGCACCTTTCATTTGCCTTGTCCCTTGGAATTCAGCTTTAACATTGATAATTTTGTATAGTTTCATCTACTAAGAAAAAGAAGAGTTTTCTATGTAATTTTTATATTGTCTCTGATGAAGAAAAATGTGTATTTTGCCCTTATGAGAAATAACCTATGTAGGGCTATGCTAGGATTAGAATGACTTGCTACCTTGCTTACAGAAGTTCTGTTTGCTTGTGTTTAAATTTTTTCATTAATGAGCAAAAAGTGAAACTGCGCAAACAGAATATAATCTTTATATGAGCTTCTGTTTTAAGCATTTTTTTCCCTGTTTCTAAAAAGACCCAGTTTTACTATGGTATTTACTGTCACAGAAACTAAATGAATCCTTGCCTGTGACATCAGCTGCCATCAATGCCTCTGCCCTGATGACCTTCACCTGAAGAAATCCCACATCGTTGATGTTATGGAACATCATCATTGGACTCTAAAAAATAATAAAAAGAAAAATAATTCTGGATTGCAAAAAAGACAAATCAAAAGCAAGATTAATAGTCTCCTCCCTAGCCCAGACATAAGTTACTACGTAATTATGTCCATATATTCAGACTTTTAAATATTATTTTCTGAAGAAGTGCAGTTTTCAGCATTTACTTTGCTACTCTAACTTATCAATGAAAATTACAAAGGAAAAATTAGAATATGAATTATTGTATCTAACACTAATTCTAGTGAATCAATCCCCTAATAGTACATGAACAACTGTACTTCAAAATTTGAAGTGAGAGCAGTGAATTAACAAAATTAACACAAACAATGAAAGTATTCTCCCTGAATTATTTTGCAAAATCTGTGTTCACATTTTCCTTTTTATGGTTGCAATAATATCCTAACAGTGACCTAGGGCTAATATAGTTGTTTTGTAGTTGACTATTATAGACAAGCTTGTATATAACATATAGGTCTATATAACCTTGCAAATAACATGAGCAAAAGCAATCAAGAGAGGATAACAACAACTTAATAATTTTCATAATAATCACATGCAAAAAGGATAAAAAAATAATTTAAGTAGGTTTCAAATTAAATGGTAGAAAGCTTTTATCATAAATCATTGTATTTCTTTAGTACAAATGTCTTCAATATCTATGTATATTAAAAAGAGAAAGAAAAAACTTAAGAGTAGACTAACATTTGCACTTATTCATCCAACACAGATTGAGAAAGCTGACTGAAAAGTATATTCTGTTGTTGCTTTTTTTCGAAGTAACTAAAACTAACAAACTGCGAGTATTGTACTAATTAGGTGTGACAAGCTTAATTCTCAAACTCTAACTTGGAATATAATTTAAAATTTGCAGAATTTCAGATGTTAGAACATTGAATGCAACTTTGAATCTGTAATCAATTAACAACTAACCTAGCTTTACAATTCCGTTTGATAACTAAGCGGAGGAACTCCAAAAGTATAGGATAAAATAGTAAAATCATGGATTGCAAATGCATTTAAAACCACATATAAATATGGCTTAATTTTTGTTTCTTTTGCAAGTCTTGTTTATAAATTCTAGCACATATATTTATTTGAAAATCTGGACCAATGCGTTTAATGCCTGTCTTCTTTCCTAAAATTTTAATGTAGTGAAACATTTCCACTGTCTATGACAGTGTTGAAGTTTCTATAAAAAGCAAACATCAGCTAAAAGCCCAAATCAACAATTCCTTAATTTAGCACAAAGGCAAAATTGACTGTTTGGAAAACCAGAATAAATAACATCACTAGATCTAAAACCCATACACGCTGCCTAAACGAAATAATAAATGTCAGCTTGCAAAAAACCTCAGTATGTTTATCCATACACAACCTATCCATTAAGATGTTAATCATATAATATGCATCCTTGCCTATTAATAAGAGAAATCTAACAGTTAATTCATGCTGATATTAATTTTACAAGCCCCAACTGACCATTTACTGTTTACAGTGAAGATTTGACCTTGCTATATTGAACTGAGAAGTCCAGTTTACTGTAGTAGCCCATGTTACATACATACAAAAACATGTATGTTATCGTGGTATAACAGTTAATAAATTTTTACCTATTTTAAGAAGTTAATACTCATAAATACAACTTCAAAATACTGATGGTCAACTTTAATCAGCACACACTCTACCCCTTGCTTATGTGCTTACAAGCTGAGGGTGACAGAGATGGTGTTACAGATAGCACTGTTATAATTCAAAGCATTGTGGCACTGCCCCTCCTTTATTACAGTAATGATCAGGTTTGCTTTCTGAAGCTTCTTATCAGAACTGGTACTACAGGGATAATGCTGCTCTAATACCATGATGACAGTGAAAGGATTTATAAAAATATTTCCACATTCTACACAAGTTTCTCAATGACCAAAACAAACACCAAGCTGGAGAAATAAAACAAAGCAAAAACCAAACACAAAGCAAGACAAGTGACTGCCCCCACTTCTTAAGATGTCAGACAGTCCCCTTTTTCCAAATCCTGGTAAGCTCACTCCTCAAAAAGGCATCAGTGCTGTATTTTGCTTTGCCACCCTTGCTAGAATCCCACAGAATAATTATTTTTGAACTTTTAGTTCCAGTAAGTCAGCTGCCTTAGATTCATTCACATATCATAACTGCTGAAAATGTATATGATGCCACAGCAGAGGCTCTGGGAGAAGCGTCTTACTTTAATACATTACTTTAAATACATAACTTTAAGTAATAATTTATCAGATGATATTCTGTCTTCTTATTTATGATTATTGTTGAAGAGATCAAAACCCACATGGTTTCTGAAGCCTCAAATTTCCATAGTAGAGGAATCTGTGATTTGCTGGGAATCTTTTCAGCCCTCAATAGATGGGAAAAGATTGAAATGCTCTGGAGATGAGTCCTCTTTATTTTTTTAATGAAAGGCTGTATAATATATTTTCTGTATGGCTGCAGCAGCTGTCAGGGAGAGCATCTCAGTTCAGCTCTATTATGGGAGAAGCAATACTCCATCCTATGGCATCAAGATACACTAAGGGGCCAGTACTGATTGACAGCTTGTCACCATGACGTCTTATTCCATCTCTGTTATGGAGAAAATTAATGTCACACCACCAGCCTTATGACTCGCTGTCATCTTAGAACTGCTCACCTTTTATCAATGCTCTAAATAACATTTCAAGCCCATCGTCTCACAGTGGACAATCTGGTCAAGGGACATTAAATCAGATGACTGTGAAATGTCATAATAAAAATGGAATGCTAACAACTTCTCTAAACTAGCTCCTCTGGTTTTTAAACTGTGACAAGGGGGACCATGGGTTCAGCACACCAGTTCTGAAAAGGTCATACAATCTCTCTTGGTCTGTACCCATTAATGCGCTCCCCCCTTTACCCCAAAAGAAATTAATCTTTTCAGACAATTGTGGTAAAATAATGGTTCAAACAGTAATGCCTGTTTAATTTGTAAGGCTCTGATGTTCAGCTACAAATGGTTAAATGACAGTAATAGAGTAATTTTCGAAGGCTATTTGATCTGATGGCAAGGTCAGCTCATTAACTGGTTTTGGCTGCAGAAAGGGTGCAAAATAAATTTCTCTAATGGAAGCTAGATTTTTTTTTTAAGAGGACAAAAAATAAAACCAAAAATACAGCCATTCAGTGGGGAACTCTAGGTCTTGCTAATTGCACATGTTGCCCTTGTATCTGTTCTGAAGCAGAGAAATGAATACCAAAGACAAATGGAACATCACTGAAAATAAACTAGTTGAATTGTGTTAATCTTGATAATTTCTTTCTTCTGCTGGTCATTTTAATAAAAACAGTAGAATTTATCAGAAAGGTTTGTAGAAGCCACAATTTTCAGAAACACATAATGAGAAATTCACACCTTTGCAATATGAATATTGTCCTAAAATATCAATGCTTTCAAATGCATACAGCAGTGTAAGAAAAGACACATATCAATGTATATGCAAGAAACAGGAATAAACCAGATCAATATTATGACACATAATTATGCTTTACACTGTGGACAAAAAAATGAGAATTTAAGAAAACTGATTAATAGTATACAGTTGTAACATATTTCTGTACTGCTACTGAAATAATCAAAACCATCAGTATCACTTGTCTGCCATATCATCACACAGAATAATCCACAGAAATAGGGTATTGTTTCTCTTGGTAGCAAGAACTATGTCACCTGAAAAACATATCCATTAGAAATTTGTTCTACTTATAGACATCTATTCTGACAACCACAGACTGTCTTGGTTGGTTCCAAAATGTGCAATAACTCTCTTAATTGTAATTATTTTTCAAAGATGGTGAACAATACCTTAGCTTTCAGTTCACTTAGGAATATTATATTTAGCCTCTCTAAGTCACCTCTATTAAACTGCGTTTATGATAACACTATTGGTGTATGAGTTGTACAAGCATTAGCAGACAGCTGATTCAGTGGAGATAGCCAGAATAAATTTGCTGAAGCGCACATCCTGCTAATCTGTTTGAAGAATATTGTACAGCATTAGTACTAGCACTTCATGTTATCTGCACAGCCTGATAAGGTACATCTTTATTAAATTCAGTTATTGAAAGGATGTCAGTCATGGAATAGGAATATTTTAAAATCTTGGAAATAAATTAAGCAGCTCTTTGTTAGTCAGAGCTTGGTTTAATGGCTGAGTGTCTAGAGAAGCCTTTCTAAACACCTGGCAGCATTGTACAATAAAAGCTTTGTAATTGTAAGTGGAAATAGCATGGTTTTTTTCTTTCTTTCTCCATGCATAGTGAAACAGTTACTTTTAGGGATTCAGGCATTAGCAAATGCTGGAGTAAGAGCTCCCCTCTCTGTTGCTTTGATAAAATTACAAAGATACCATGTAATGTGAGGATGCTGGGAAATGGAAATAATTTGCTTCAGAATATTTTGAAATGGAAATACTATTTAAAACAATTATTTTGACTATATAAAATATTGCTTCAGCCTCAAATATGCTGACAAAAAATAAGTTTCCTTGCCTTTTAACAGATGTTCAAAAAAAAAAAAGCTGAAAACTATTGGCAACTCAAATTATTTGGCATAAAAAAATCACTAGAAATTGTACATTCACTGAGTGACCCCTTAGTTACTTTGTGCCTAGTAAAATTATGTGTAAGGCAGTAAAATTAACTTCCTTATATGACAACTTATCAAAGTTGAATTACCATGTAAAAAATACTTTACTGTATGAAGAGCATTTGTAGCCCTCTTGATGTTACCCATACCAGCTGTAACTATTTCTATACTAGTAACTATAAATGATTGTTGTTAGCGAGGTGTTATTAGAATATAAGAGATACATTTAGGTTTTTACCCTCATGATAGCTATTTTTTATATAGGTAAACATTTTGCAAACAAAGGGTGAAAGAGAACTTCATACATATCTCTTCAGTATCTCCTCTCGCTCCTTCTGGTCCTCCAGGGAGTTAACGGAGAGGTCAGAGATAGTGACTGCAGCTGAGGCTGTGAGAGTGACCAGCAACACCAGGTATCCCTCTCCCTCCTCTAGCGGTATCTCCAGCTTGTGGGTTTGTTCTTTACTCAGGGTCGACAGGTCAACTTGGCATCTAGAAACACACATTCTGCATCAGCATGTGGTTTTCCTTACATCAAACAAGAGCACATTGGCTTACCTGCATTCAAATGGACAAAAAAAACCCAAGTAAGAGTAATTCCCTCCTAGCTTCTGGAAAAAATTCTAAATTTATCTTCAGCCTTAATCCATGCTGTTTTTCTGACCTTTTTTTTTTCTTTTCCGTAAGGCTACACAACCCGTTTTGAAGTGAACAATAAATATTAAAAAGAATGTACAGATACTAGAGATAAGATTAGCTAACATGCCTTAAACACAAAGAGAATTAAAAAAAAATCAGCTTCAGATGCAAATTTTACTTTTAATTATGTCTCTTGTATAAAGAAAAAAAGTAAGTTTTGATGTGAACATTTTTGATACTGTTCATCTAACAATAGTAAAAATCTTTTCTTAAAAAAAAAAAAAAAAGAAAATCTATGTGGATTTAACTGTGATGGCATTAAGATGACTGAGCACAGAAAAATTCAACTTGAGCACTACCTGAAAGGCTCAGCTCACTTGCAGTAAGCTGTGTGTGGCTCAGGGTCAAAGCTTCATGCAGGCAGCCAGGATAAAATCTGATGCCACAACCCCCTATATAATAAGATGTCTCACTTTGTAATGAGCAGGGACTGCTTATAACTGCGCAGAGTGGCTGAAGCCAATCCGCCCTGCTTGATCCCTTTCTGAATAACTCTGGCTGTACCATACACTGAACTAATGAAGAATGACTCTATAGCTTCCAGACAGCAGAAATAGCTTTGCAACATCTTTAGAAATACAAGGCAAAGCATGGAAAGAAAAACAGTTTCACTGCTATCAAAGAGCTGACCATAACCTTTTAAATAAAACAGTAATACCTTAGGGTAAGTAATTACTGCACAGTTTAGAAGTTTCAATATTTTAATTTGTATAAAGCACAAATTGCAACTTTCCTAGACTGCCACTCTGAGTGTGTATAGAAATTCAGTGTCCATGTCAAATGTAATGCCAGTTTGCACTGCACAGAAATTTCTGTGAAAATGCACTATTTGGAATACTTATAGCATCTCAAAATGAGTTTTTCCAAAACTCATTACTCTAAAAACAGTAACAATACTGAAATAAAATAATGCATATATTCTATATTTACTTTAGTCATTGAATACTCTCCTTTCAACTGTGATTATTTAATGTGAGAAGCTGGTATGTGACATGTACTATATGCAACTAACTCACTAAACTAAACATCTAGCAAACTCTTGTAATAAAATGTCAATTGATTTTGAAGAAAAAAATAATGTGGTCACCACAGGGTCAATAAACTGAGAAAAAGGTGGCAGACGTGAATAAATAGCCATTTAAGGATGAGAAATAGTCAATTATGAGAGTAAATGCAGCCTCATAAAATGAGCATTGTGCTATTATAGGCAGATGAGATTTGCTACAGGAAAACCGTCTTTTATTATTTTAAAAACATTTACTGTCTGTTGTGCAGCTGTCTAAACTCCTGCAAAGCTCAAATGGTAATAAGGTTCAATTACCTAACAATGAAAAAATTTCTAACTGATGTAGCATTTTGAGCTTAATGTTTATCTTCTATTTTGAACCCTTCGGATGATAAGGAGTGAGAAATTAAATTCACAACAGTAAGGAAAAATAAAGCTATTGCTGTCAGTGTAGGTTGATGGCCAATACAAGTTTTGCATATGTACACAGACTGTCCAATTTTTATTTACAATGCAGTGAGAACTATAAAGCCCTCCTTAATAATAACAAATACTGTAAGCAAGCATTCAAAGCTGGAGGAGGTTAAAATACCCCTGATCTTAAATATTCTTTGATAATTTATTTCAAAACAGATACCCCTCAAAAATAGGGCTTAGCAACAATATTCAAACTTCAACCAATAATCATTTAAAGAACCAGTCTAAACTCTCCTAAAGTCAGTAAAAGAATCAGAAAGTCATTACGATACTAGTAATGCAGAAATAATCTGTCCCTCACTCAAAAATAGGCAACAAAAGCTAACCCCTCTGGAGAAAACCCACCTACATTCACCAGAAAAATGCAACGAGTGTTAAATTTCAGGGTCTACATCAGAGCAACAAGATACAATTTCTCCAATTCTTGAAGTTACAACACTTTTGCAACATTATCATGTTATTTTTTATTTAGGCTAAAAGAAGCAACTGACAATTCAATTTTATCTGTGCTCCTTTCCTACAGCTATGAAATACTCCTAATAGCAGAACAAATTACCTGAGAAGTATGGCTCTATTGACTGCTTGATAAATTTCCATGAACAGCCCATCACCAGCTTGTTATTTCCTAACACCATACAAATGGTAGGAAATGCTCTGGAAACCTTTTTTTCCAATGCAAGCCTTAATAATTTTAAACGAAAAATATCCTCTGAAGGGTCCTCAGATAATTTGATGAAAATCTAGAGTTATTCCACTAAAGAGTGTCACCACTGCACTTCATAGAAGTCCAAATTAAGAATGTCCTTGTGCCTACACAGTCAGGTGAAAGCACACTTCTCACTCTCTGCCAGGTCCTCTCACCCCTGGCCTTACAGGGGATGAAGCTTGCATGTATCTAATTCAAAGGTGCCAAGGCTCAAGGAGCATCCAGCATAAGATGAGTGCATCTACAACACATGTGCTTCAGACAAATGATAAGACTTTTCAATTTACAGACACTATAACAGAAACTGCAATTTTTTTGCTTTAGTAGCTGAATTTTTCATGATAAAAAAATCAACTTTGTTTGCTCTTATGCCAAATTTTCCTAAAAAATAAAATAATTTTTTGTTATATCTACTTTGTCCTCAATAAATCTTTGTATGGGATCAAAAAAAGTGAAGGAAGTCTGGTTTTATTAAGGCATTACCGTAACACTAACCCTATCCTAGCATAACTTTGACAGACACCAATAGGAAACCCACAAAACTCCTTTTTGTATTACATTTCCTTAGAAGGACTGAAGTTAATAAAATACTTCTAAAGATAAGTATCTGCTGGGAAAATATCTATTTTCCAAATGTAAATAACTTCGGAAAGTTCAAGTTGACAATGCTCCTTTACATTTTACTGACAGTATATACAAGTGTTCCAATCTTTAAGGCTTTAGCAACGCTGACTTACATCAGTTAAGATGTTCTCTTAAAAGACATTTGTCACCCCCAACTGTTTCCATGGAGAACAAATATGCTTTGAGGATGAAGGTGAACTTGAATGTTACCAGAAAGGGGTGCAGAATGAGTGAGAAATTTTTGTCTAGTTTTCTCAAATCAAGGACCATGAAAAATTACAGCCACTTTGAGAAGGCCGTAAGTTGCATATGACCAGCAGCTGTCACATTGAAAGCATGAGATAATAGCAACTTTGGACAATCCAGTTTCTTAAGGAATTATTATTTACATGATGCTGCTGAAAGAAAAGAGTTCTCCACCTGTAAGGAGGTCAGCCTGAAGAATTACAGCAAAAAATTTGCCATTAACTCCACAGACAGATTTCCAAGCATCGCTATAAATCACATCATAGAGAGAACTGTAGTTTTTTGGGCAATTTGAGAATTTCTGCATATTACATGATGTATGGTCCCTTGGCAGCACTGCAGGTGTTAGACTGGGACACTGGAACCGTCGCCATGGCTGGCTGACCCCTCAGAAAGAGGTAGTAGGAGTATGCCTCCCCATCAGTTCTGCATGTGAACATTCACAGACACCATGTGTATTTGGATTTTCAGGCTTGAGAGATCAGAGGGGAGAAAAAAACATACAAATGCATCAAGCTTATGTGCCATAGTTATTACAGATACAGATACAAATTGCTCAGAAACAAGGTACAGCTCCCATGGAGGAAAATTTGAAGGTTCAAGGGGAATCTATGACTTGTCTGAAACTGTGTTCAGTGTGTTAATCGTCCAAAGTTTCAGAAATATATTTCAGATTTATTTTTAATTTGAATATATCTGGCCTTTGGTTCTTTTTATGCCTTTCTTTACCCAGTTGAAAAAGCCTTTAGTGTTTCATGTTTTCTTCTAGAGAAGGTACTCATACGCTATAATCATATATCTTCTTCATCTTTCTTTTGATATGCTAAACATCTTCAGCTCCCTATACATTTCCTAGGAACATATCTCCTGCAGCCCTCAAATGACTTTTTGTAACTTTTCTGATCCAGTGAAATTCTCCTGCATCCTTTTTAAAGTGCGGAAGGCAGAACTATATGTAGTATTTTATTATCAGCATGTCTAACAGGTAAAAATCACCTCCCCTCTCTAGTTCTAACAGAACCTGGAATGTAAGACTACGTTGGCACCCTGGTGAAATATCCTTGCTAATGAATGAATTACAAAGGTAGCAACATGACATAGAAGGCCTCTTAAAAGCCAGGTGGCCAGGCAAGTGAGAGACAGCAGATAGTGAGATCATTTTCTCACATGACAAAATAAAGCATAAAAGAGGAACTGGCACAATCCTAAGTGTTAGGGACAGAAAAGCACCACTTGGCTACAAACCAGGCAACTTAATTACCATCATGACTTGTTCAGGAACACAGCCTTTTAACTCCACTGTGATCCAGGTCTATGCTGCTCCAAAGGATGCCAAGGAGAGGAAACTGTATGATTCCACAATTAGAACTGAGCTGGACACACATCAGAAGCAGCGAGGCATGAACTGCTACAATTAGTGAGACTCTATATCCTTTATGAGCAGAGTAAAATGTTCCAGTAAAACCAAGGAACAAAAGGAGAGGGAAAATTCTGCAAAGCACTGACAGAAAATGACACATCTCAGAAACACTCAGTGTTGACTGCAGTAATGTGAACTTCTTGGAAGAATCAGAGCGTGACATTTTTAACCGTAAAGATAATGAAAAAGAAATGAAATAATGGACTACACACAATGCTTGTGAGAGGTGTTCAATAAAGGTGATAGACTGAAAACCAGGAAAGCTCCCAAAGGAATTGGAAAGTGTAACTCAGCTAAGTAGGGCACTGACTAAG